AGGAATGCTCTCTCTTTTGAGATTCCTGATAGATTTTTATTTGGTCAAGTCTGATCCAGAAGCCAAAATATAAAAGTGAATGAAAAATACTTGAAAAGAAGAAACAGTATACTGCTTAGATGGTACTATAGATAAATCTCAAGGAGGAGGGGGAAAGAGAGGGAGAAGTTAATTGAACTTCTTGAAATCTCAATAAAGGTTCAGCTTTGAATCAGGATAAAGTTTGTAGTTGCTTCTGATTTTATATAAACTGGCTTTCCCATCCTTGTTGTTTGGTGCACGGCAGTAGTAAAAATGTTCCAAAAAATTATTCAAGCAGGACCTCTATAAATCCATGTTTTCCACCTCCACTACAATTTTGTATTTTTTTCAAGGCATTTCCTTAACTAAACGCCACAACACCGATTCCAATTCTTTAAAAAAAAAACCTTATTGGCATATTTGGTTACAAATAATCAATTGGAAACAGATTACTATTGAAATAAAAGTTACTCTTAAGTCCTTGGTTTATCTCATTCACCTCAATGCAAAAAAAATCAGCTAAATCATTGCAAATCTCTACCTTTATCTTATTAAAATGGATTATTCTTCTCTGAATGATGTCAAGACCTGGAAATGGGACAGTCTAGATTTCACAGTCACATTAGATGTATGAGCAAAATTCTCTTGCAGTCTACATAATAAGCAGCCACGGAGCTGACAATAAACACACTTAGAAAATATTACATTATTCTGCCAGTCTCACAGAGTACCTAATCTTTTCACAACTAGTGCCCTTCTCTCAGTGGCCCCAATTCACTAAAGTACGTAAGCACATAGCTAACTTTAACCACATAAATAATCCCTTTGGAGTTAACAGTACTACTCAAATGTCTAAAGTTATACATACACTTAAGTACTTTACCAAATTGGGGCCCGTATCAGCAAAGTTGATCCCTGTCCAAAGAATTTCCTTTCCTGTCTTCAGCCCTGATTCAGAAAGGCATTCCTATTCAGGAAGAACATTTAAACATATGCTTAAATTTAAGTGCTTGGGCTTAAGACTCTTTCAAGTCAACAAGGAAGAAGATGTGCTTAAGTGCATTCCTCTGGGACTAATGAAGCAAACCAATTGTTAAAGAATTCTACCATCTTGTTCTCCTTCTCTCTAGTTGTCCAGTGTCATTTCTAGTGCGTTGTATTTCCTGTAGATATTGCCTGTTGAAAATGCATTCACAGAATCCAATAGAATGGACTTTAATATTCTTCATACTTCAATCCTAAAGTAAACTTCCTTCTGTTTAGTTCTTTCAAATACCAGGACTCCAGATTTTTTAAAATTGTTATTAGTCTTGATCCTTTTTTATTTTTATTCTATTCTGCAGCTCTATGTCCCAGAGCAGTTTCTTTACCTCTTCTTCAGTTCAGATGTAAAAAAAGTATTTTATGACAGGACAGGAAGTGCCTGGTAAGTGGGAAGAAAGCTCCTTCAGGAAGCTCCCCTCAGTTCCATCTTATCCTTAAACCTTATCATAACACCTTTTCCCTTGGCTATGGAAGTATGGAAGTGCTAGGCTATTTTCTTTGGAACTTATCAACACCTTTCACTGACTCACTTAAACTTAACTTTAAATTAAGCTTGCTTAACTCTTGTTTAAGTATTTGTTACTCTTGCTCAATGAGACTTCAGCACAGGTTAAAGTAAGCACATGCTCAAGTGCTTTCCTGACTAGGAATAGTCTTAAGGATATGCTGGATGGCACTGGAAATTCAGGAGTAGTAGTAGGTGCTCTCTCTTTCCACAGTCTGAGTGCATTTGTTTTCCAGTTAGCATAAGATTTAGACTCTGTTTCCCTACCATGTGCTGAAGCTCATTTGACAGTTTATCATATGTAACAGTAGAAGGCAACCATCGATCCATCTAGATCATGGTGTATGCGTGAGAGGTCACCAGGACCTTCGATGTGTATGCCTAGGCAGGAGCATGGAGGAGTGGAGGCTGCATCAGACCTTCCATCCCTGCTTTAGACCACTGAGACAGTATCCAAAGGCCAGACTCAGTCCAGACATTTGGTGCCTGATTATATGCGTGTTCAGGAATTGAATCTGGGTCTCCCACATGGCAGACAAGGAGTCTACCACTGAATCACAACAGTGGGTTAGCATATGTAGATACTGTCAAAAATCCTGTGCTTTTCCATTCCAAAACCCTGTTCTTTATTTATTTATAAAGAAGATGTTAGATAATTCTGAAAATTACACACAAGCCTTCATAAACATTTAGTCTGTGTTTCTTTAAAATATGTACAATATTATGGATACAAATATGTTATTCATTGAGTTCACATTCAACAATATTTTCTTCAATATCAAGTCCCAAAACTGTAATAGAAGCATGATTTTCAGCAGTATCCTGCCTTTCATTTTTGACTCTGGGGATTTTATGATGAACTTCAAATTGGAGCGGAACAAGGCCAGTTCTCAGTACTTTTGAAAATCCTGCCCAGAGTACCTAGTGAGA